TTTATTACTTTCCCTGCACGGAAGTGGTTGCCAGGTGTCAGAAAAAGAAGATGATGGAAGAGTGACAGGAGGTAATCTTTTCTTGGCGTGGAACGTAGCGAGGAGAAATATAATACCACGTTCCTGGAGTCGAAGAATCCGATAAGCCGTGTGTTGGACGTGGTTTTTCGCGTTGCTAGCGCACGCAAAAGATGCCAGCGTTTGCAGATCAAGCCACCTTCCCGCGCACCAAGGTGAAAGGCAGTGCGCGGAAAACGCAGCGAGAAGCGAAAGTGATGGATGAGCAACCATGGAACGCGTCCGTGCTCCTGCGTATACCGCATGTACATCGCTGCAGCCACGCCCCAGTCAGAATGCACTGCGTCAGGTTCTCGAGGTAGCTCAAGTGCGGAACAATATTCTCCGATCTGCTGCGTGATACTCGACCGAGAAAGCTACCCTGGGCCTTTCCATGCAGTTTCTTTCTTTCATTTTCCGCATACAAGATAGAACTTTTTCTTTGATATTATTGTTACCTACTCATCTTTGCTATTAAAGTACGCTTACCGTACAAGGACGCGATAAGTTGTAAAATCTAGTTAGACTGCTCAAGATCAAAATATTATTGAATATTATTATACCAAAGTCATCTGTAGTAACGTTTGATTTGCCTTTATCAAATTTAAGAAGGGCAAAAACTAAGCAGTCATGGAGGGCTGTGTTGCATGGACATAGAGACCAACATTGAAAGGACGCTCACTTCAGACACGACATTACACTGGAGCGATGTTTAAGAGGCCAGCAAGACAAGGCTATCTATGGTATCTAGTGTGCTGTCCTTTCTGAGGTGTGTGCTAGTCAGAGGTGCATATACGAAGCAACTAGCTCAAAAGGCGTCCTATTAAGATACAGAAGCAGTGCGCACACGTGATGCTGCAAAACGAACATAAAATAGAGCGCTGAGTTAAGTGTATTTTGGAAACTGAAGCAGGATTTGAAAAAAATTGTAAGCCTGGGTCATGAAACACTACGTTGAATAGTTTTCTTTATTGTGGCTTGCTGCTAAAATTCAGCAGTGGTGGAGCCCAGACTTATCTTTTCTATGTATATATAAAACAAGCCTAGCAAATATATTGTTAGGTCCACAATATGCATTTGCTGTAGGACGACCGAAGGCTAGAATGGCGAGCTTGCACAGGACCAAGCTGCTGAAAGACCTTGTTTTACTCTTCTCGCTTTTGTTTCCTCTTCTTCCCAATGCGGCACATACGCTACGTAATAGTTCCCCCCTCGCAGAAGAGCACGCCGTGCATTTCATAGAGCATCTCGCCTACTGAAAAGTCTCCGGCGAGCCACATGCCTCAACTCTGTTTCGGTAGAATGTCTCCCACTATAGCTGTGAGACGTCCTATACGATAGTCAACGACATTGAAGCGGTCAAGAAAAACGAATGGTGTTGTGCACTGGCAAGCAAGGTCGTAGGTGACGTGCTGGTTGTTGCTGTCGTAATGAACTCATGATCTGTCAAAGAGCCGATTTTACGCAAACGGGCAAGTTGGTGATCTCCTTAGCCTTGAGAGAGACTTTCTGCTAATTGAGTACTGTCCCGATCACAATAAGAGAAATGTTGTATTTAGTGTATAACTAGGGGGAAGGGGGAGGGTTGAACGTGGAGGAGAAAGGGTGGTAGCTCTTGGTCTTGTGTTTGTCAGTATTAAATGAATGAGATGAATGGTGAGACATCTTCCCAGTTCTTATGATTGAACAACGTACATCTAACGCATGTTATGAGGTGTCCGATTTGTTCGCTGAGTGAGGTGACCATTCGTATTCAGATGATCACGCATCAAGTGTCTCAGTTCTAAGTCGCACATACGGAGGAGTTCATGGATAACTTCTGCCGTAAACTGACATCTATGGTCACTCATGTTGATGCGAGGAGGTCCATTACGCAGTTTGATGAAATGCAGGAGGAAAGAGGACACTTGATTAGCAGTCGCAGATGACGGGGTGGAATCTTGCAGTAGCGAGTTAGATGGCCAGCATACATCGCAATCCATCGGTTGGCTTTCGATGAGCATGGTAAAGGTTAATCAGTTTAATGCTAACTTGTTCAAATGGAGAACGGGGGGCGTCAGAGGCTGTAAAGTTTCGGCCGGATCTACTGTATTTTCTGCTCCTGGCATTGAGTACAACTGGCTACTTACAACTCAATGGTTTGGCGCACGCAGTGTCATCATCATGGGTTCCTGTGTACGATGAAATAGATGCGTCATTCTCACGTGACACGAAAATGCATCACTGTGCAAGGCAAACAAAATATATTAAAGTAGTACCTTTAGAGCCACCTGAGAAAGCAAGCACCTGTGGCGGAGATGGTCTTTTTGTACAGTAATCCACCACGAATGCAAAGGCAGCCCTCCACAGTGGATACTCGTGCTACAACAAACAGCTCGCGTCCTGCTGCTACTCAGCTTCGAGGGTAGCTCTATCCAAAAACGTTCGTGCTTTTCACGCAGAGAGATGATCAAATTCGCCAGCGTCGCAGACTGTCACCGCTTCTTTGTTTTGCTACAGGCCGGTACGTGCGCCACGTTTTAATATAGAGTAATAGTTACGGCTTGTCCTTCTCATATGATTGTGTACATTGTTTTACTGCAAATAGAACAAATGCAACTGCAACTTAAAAAAGAGAAAATGACAGCCACTGGTTTTGCAGCAAAAAGTAACAAGAAAATTGACACAGATTTCTCATAAAGACAGCTTATTAATTAGTGAAAAATTCACCTTGGACCACGGTTCGAACCCAGGATCAATGCCTTCCCTGGGACGTCGATGTCTCATATGAGCTAATAAGAAATCTCTCTGTGGCTTCGTGCTGCAAAAGAGTGGTTCTTAACTAACTTCTCTTTCTTGACTCTTCTGCCACCTTGCACTTGCAATTTATTTGGGATGAAATCTAAGTTCAGAAAATCTCAGTTTATAACTGAATTCAGGAACAGCGCAACCTACAAGTAGTTACTTCGTAACTACGGAAGCGAAAAAACAACAAGGACAGAAAAGAGCGCTGACTTTCAACAAAGGTTTAATATCGGGGGGATGTACAAATATAGGCGAAAAATGAGAAAAAAAGAGAAAAAATGGGCATGCGTAGAAGGGTGCAGGAACAACTGCGATACACTGTCAGCAAAACTGTTGTCTCTTGTTGAAAGGGCTGAGAAAACAACTGCGTACGATGAAATGCGAGCCGCCCTCAGAGGCTTTCAACAAGAGACAACAGTTTTGCTGACAGTGTATCGCAGTTGTTCCTGCACCCTTCTAAGCATGCCCATTTTTTCTATTTTTTCTCATTTTTCGCATATATATGTACATCCCTCCGATATTAAACCTTTGTTGAAAGTCAGCGCTCTTTTCTGTCCTTGTTGTTTTTTCGCTTCCGTAGTTACGAAGTAACTACTTGTAGGTTGCGCTGTTCCTGAATTCAGGTATGTCCTACCAACTTGCCCAAGCTTCCACGCTTCATAACTCAGTTTATAGCCACGAAGTTTACATGACTATCTCAACTCTAGTGAACATGTCAGTGATGCAAAGCATTGAAAAAAAAAAAGGAAACAGAAAGCATTTAAGTGCCCATTTGGCTACTTCACGTGGGTGGGATTGTTAAGAGAAACACGAAGTTGAGAGAGGGGAGAAGGAAAGAAGAAAATGAGAAGTGAGTGCGCTGTCGCATGTGGAATGCCACCGCTATACCCTACGACAACTTTTTTTGGCAGTACTGTGAAAGCTGCAGAATCAAAGCGCATGCCTACTAGCTGCGCCAAGAATTAGTGCTGAAATTTACTGCTATGTTTCTCAATTGATCTGCTGTAATAAATAGAGATTTCATTCATTATGAGACTCAGACAGTAGTGCAAAAATTGAAGTTAAAATACAGTTATTGTACATTTCACAAGATTGCCTTCATTTTCGATTCTTTTTTTTAGTAAGCACAATCATTTTCCAATGTAAACTTGGTGTCCATGACGGGAGTGGTTAGATGTGCAGAAGCAAATTCGCTGTTCAGTGCTCCAAGAAAAAAGCACATACTCGTAATATCACGCTAAGATGTACAATGAACCATCAACATGTCTCTCGCAGTCAAATTTTCTGCCTATGCGTTTTTTTAAACGCGTTAGCGATGAGAGCCAGCAAAACCAAAATCACCCGCAAGCTGCCATACTACTTGCGGAGCAGTACGGCTGCGCTAAAGCCCCGCTTGCGTAGCCTACCTTCGCTCCACTACCAAGATAAGTTGCCGGCGTGTGTAGCCAAACAGGTCAGTACAATAGCCAGTCATTATTGAGAATTAGAAAACGGCCTTCACTGCCTGGTGATCTGAGAAGCGTTGGGTCGATGTTCCAGCACTACAAGACAAGCATTACTAAAGCCTTTGAGGGCGGCTCGCATGCGAGAGATTAGCAGGTGTGCAATAGTCCAGTTGTGGACGCATGCAACAATGGCTCTATGTTTAGAGTAATTGATTTCTAGCCGAGAGGTGCACCATAAAAATTCACCGACTGGTTAGTTTTAGTCACGCTCACCTATTGTCAACCCGTTGACATAAAACTCCAGACAGGGCTGAAATCGAGTGTCTGCCCACAAAAGGAACAACATCAGGTGAAAGGCGTGAGAGAACTAGCCTAACTCGCAAGTTAGCGCATTGCACCTAAACGGATTGTGTAGTTGTTGACTCACTGGAACAAGCGGAATCAAAAGTTCAGGACGTGTTATATCGCACACTACGCCAAGTATTAAATCGAACGTGTTTGCAGACTTTTAAACGGGTATATGAATACACCACGTTTTCCGTTGCTTAGCATTATACTAGGTCACGCACGTGTCACTTTTACTGAGGCTGGTCATGGTTGGATGAGTGCTTTAACGGCAAAGTGTAAAATTGATCGGCTCAAAACACGTCGTCTTAATAACACCCATAAAGTGAAATTCTCTGAAATTCAAGACATGAAAATCGAGTCACTTACTATATAGAGAAGGCAGCCGAAGAGATGATGCTGATTATTCTCAACTCGTCTTTGAACTGTTATGGCCAGTGGTTCTCGCGAAGTTACAGCATTATATAAATAACGAAAATCCAGTTGGAAACACTGAAAGGAACGGAGATAGGAAACTCAAAATTAGCTTGTAAAGCATCTTGCCAAGTTCATCGCGTGGATGAGCAAGGTTGTCGGTGAAACCTGTGGGCTTTACAAAGAACGTCACGTTGATGGACAAAAACCGTAAGCTGAGTCGATACAACTCTAGGGAACGCGATCGGTGTTCGAACGCTACCTCACCAGATCAGTGCGAAATTACGCAATGTTCCATCAACGATAGCAAAATAAAAGCTGAAACGACGACAGTGACCGGGGGACGTTAGGAACAGAGCTCGTTTGCCGGCAAAACGCGCATATAACGCTACGACTGTTACATGGTTCTTTCACAGCGCTTGAAAACCTGATGATCAGGAGTTGCGTGAATGGCCGGCCAACGCCTAGATGCAACGAAACATAAACTCCATCACGCTCCTCTGACGCATATAAAACCACCCTCCCCGCCCCCTCCCTCCCTCTTGGAAAACGTGGAAGCACGAACTGTGGTTGAAGTTGACTGGTTATTGACGAGTCCGGTAAGACCCTAGCTCTGTGCTTGCGTAATAACGATTGCACTCCTGCGGGCAGTGTGATCGAAGGAGCGGAGACAGGAAACGGCGTCCAGCTTTGTTTAACCTCGCCGTGTCGATGTTCCACACGCACACACAGACGCGCGTGTAGCGATTGCGTGCTTCCTGATGCGATGCCGCACCGTAATGGCGTAGACCATTTTGCGGAGGATGTGCGGTGCGGGAACGCCGGCACGGGTTTCGGTGCGGCTCGGTCACGTCTACTGTTTCACGGGCCCAAAAAAGGAACGAACAAACAACAAAAAGGCGCTAGCATCTCTGAAGCTAAAGCCTCGTAACATTTTGTTACCTAGCTTTTGGTTCTGGGGCAATTTATGGCTCGTTAATGTCCCTCCAGCATCCGCGGAAAAAAAAACTGCTACCAAAAAGGCAGGGATGCACGACATAAATCTCCGTTCTATATAGCCAGTCGCGCAAACACTTAAAGCACGGGGAGCTTCAAGTATCGCATGCTCGGCAGCCAGTTTTTTGAGCAATCTTAGAGCATTTTTATTTTGCTCCTGGTTAGAGGAAAAGCCGAGATGATGCCCCAATAGTCAGGCGGAGAATTTTCGGAGCCTTCGGTTCGTTAGACGGGGTATGACGAAAGCTATTATTCAACACGCGTCGAGTTACTTTTTTTTCTGCACTAGAGCGTAATCGCAACTAGAATAGTCTGTTCTGTTATAACATGAGCTAAACAGAAGTACTTATCATACTCTGTTTTTAACGACTGAAATTCACTTTTTTCTCTGTCTAGCTCAATGCGTGTATTTCGTTCCTTCTGAGGGCATTCTTCAAGATTAGAAGTACTTTCTGTGTTCGGGTCTGTCTGCAGGACAAAGAAACTTATTAGAGTTCTTGCTCGCCCGTAAGCAACTCGCTCCAGTCGCTTCTATTGAAGCACAGGGCTGGATCATTGTTCGCGATAAAGCCGAGTGACAAATAAAAAGAACCTTCAAGTGTTTCCTTGCGACACATGCAAACAAGGCTCCGAGCTTCCTAAATGGCGTGATTGCCAATCAGGCCAGCCAGGGCCATGTTTACTTTTGAACATGTTCAATTTGGAGAAACCTACATTGTCAATCACGTTGGTTGGCTTGTTAAACAAAGGTAGATAGACAGCTCGTAACTATTTTCTGTTCTTTGCAAAAGATGATTTGTAAAGTTGGAAAAGACGGTGCTCTCAAAGCGGCTGTCTTTTTTTACTGAAGGGAGAACAAAATAGTGTTATGACATTCCGTTATCCATTGTAGGCTAGTTATGCAATGCTCGCCATATAGTTGTATTTCTCAATTTGAGGCGTCCATTGGTGCTGCTGCGTAAAATTCACTCTTATTATTATGCGATCATGTATCATTAGTGGCGACAAAAGTGACAAGGCTCTCTAGTGACACGTTATATATCATTACATACCTGGACGAGTTCTTTCGCAGATACTATATAGTGGTATTCTCGTAGCTTCTTTTGTATAGCGTTCCAAAGATCTCATAGGGTAATGTTAGCAAGGTTGGAACAGAAAACACTGAAAGAGTAGAACTTTTATAACTGTCTTGCATGCTTAGTTGTCTGAAGCGAGCGACTGTAACTCAGAACAAGCATGATTTGCCCGTGGACGGAGAAAGTCAATTACATTCTGACAGGACCAGCTGCAACTCACATCTACAAAGTTCTTCAAGCTCTACAGCGACAGACTATTACTGCAGGTAATTATTCAGCAGCTGTGGAATGTCGAAAGCCACTCGGAACACTTTCTTCTTTTCAGATTTTGTGGTCCCTGTATTGGCGATCTGTTTCCCTTAGATATCGTGAAATTAAAAGACGTAATGATGAAAGCAGGTAGTCGAAAGGTCGTGGACAGAACGCATTCATAACTGACCATAGTGCACGTAGGTAAATCCTTGTGAAAATATGGCAGAGAATGGGCTCGAGCCCCCACAATTTCGTCTGTCTGGTAGAAAAAAAGAAAACATATGTGGCGTGAAATTGTCAGTGAAGAAAAAGTTTGCGAGTCCAACGGGTGGTGGAGCACAAGAGATCATCCATTGACGGTTTGCGTGCTCTGCGCCGGGCGTGTACACTGACGCGGAGCATTTATCATTCCTCTTGAACGACTCCCCGTTGCGTCCCTTTGTGCGAGGCGGCACGATCTTGAACGCCCACGCTTCCCTTTTTGAAGTGGCCGGACACAAATTTTTTTTTTCTCGTCCGCCGTAGCTTCTGACTTCAGGCTTTGATCGAGTGAGCGATTCTTTATTCTAATGTTTCTTTATTTTCAAACAGCGGTCACGTCCTGGTATGCCACTTGTTTCAACAGTTTGCGATTTTCGTACGTTGTTGACGTGCATACTTGCAGAGTGAGCTCTGTCGTCCACAGACTATTCTAGAAATTCGGCATGCAAAGCGGAAAAGTTGTCATTCTGCTTGCTTTGAACGGCGTGACTTCAACACTACTGTATTCGCTAATAGGTTTTATTGTGATTTCAGCATAGGATGTTCTGTACAGTATTGGTTCGCTCTACATTTCAACTTTGTTGTTGCTGCTCTGTTGCTGGTACTGAATCATGCCGCATCTTCTTTCTGTAGCCGGTTGTTGCTGCCTCACTGCAGTTGCGGCCTCGCCGTAAAGAGGAACTACAGACGGTTTAGTCGGTAGAGATGTTATTGTGTTCTCAGGCTGATGAAATGTAAGCCCAGCCGCTCACTTCTTCGTAGCAGTTCCAATGCCGAAATTTTGTGGCGCGCGTAGTGGGCTTCACCACAACTCACTAAATTCAGGGACCTGCTGTCTTGAGAGGTAATTTACTGATAAATTGAAAATGTGGAGATTCCTGTCTCTAAAATTTTCAGTCGACGCATCTGCTGTAGATTCTGAAAGACTTTCAGGAAGAATCTCAAAAGCAATTATTATTCGTCCCATTTTTTTTTTCAATTTGTCTTTGCATTTTGCGAAGACGTCGCGGTTTTCTATCTATCTATCTATCTATCTATCTATCTATCTATCTATCTATCTATCTATCTATCTATCTATCTATCTATCTATCTATCTATCTATCTATCTATCTATCTATCTATCCATCCATCCATCCATCCATCCATCCATCCATCCATCCATCCATCCATCCATCCATCCATCCATCCATCCATCCATCCATCCATCCATCCATCCATCCATCCATCCATCCATCCATCCATCCATCCATCCATCTATCTATCTATCTATCTATCTATCTATCTATCTATCTATCTATCTATCTATCTATCTATCTATCTATCTATCTATCTATCTATCTATCTATCTATCTATCTATCTATCTATCTATCTATCTATCTATCTGTCTGTCTGTCTGTCTGTCTGTCTGTCTGTCTGTCTGTCTGTCTGTCTGTCTGTCTGTCTGTCTGTCTGTCTGTCTGTCTGTCTGTCTGTCTGTCTGTCTGTCTGTCTGTCTGTCTATCTATCTATCTATCTATCTATCTATCTATCTATCTATCTATCTATCTATCTATCTATCTATCTATCTATCTATCTATCTATCTATCTATCTATCTATCTATCTATCTATCTATCTATCTATCTATCTATCTATCTATCTATCTATCTATCTACCTACCTTTGTCTAAGTGCTCCCATCCGAAGGTTTGACGAATGTGGCTGTCTTATTGTGGCGTTATTAATGCGAAAATCCCATCGCGTACGACTTCAAACCCCTTCTTCCAGACACGTGCGGCACATACCCGTATACCACGGCCCGCTGATGATGGTATGCGCCGCAGCAGTTCGTATCTTCCGAAATACTGGCAAGATGCAGCTGTTATACACCTTCCTTTTGAAAGTCAGTGGCCGATTACTATTTATAATTTGAGAATGATTGCTGAATGTGATTCACCCTATCCTTATTCTTCCACGTAAGAGTGAGTGGATTAACAAGTCCGCAAGTACGTGGCAACGGAAAGCACAAGACCGGGTTGATTGGCGGATAAACGAGGGAGGCATTTGCCTCTAGTAGGTGTAGTCAGGCGTAACTTCCTAATTGATGATGACGATGATGATGATGAAGATGATGGGGGTTAACCGAAGGTTGGCTAGAACAGACATTCATGATTTAAATGCAAGAGTATTAGGAAAAACCATCATCGGCTGCCTTCACCCAACGAATGCAAAGAATAGATGTTATAGTCCCAGCAGGAATTGAACCCAAGCATTTTCCGTGGCAATCAAATATTTTACCACAGGGCCGCGCCAGGTCAGGGAACTGCTTTAGAACTTGACCTTGTGAAAACGTATTGATGGTTAAAGGTCAATTGTTGTTGCAGTAGTGGCCATCTAATTTTATAAACAATACATATGTATTAAAATAATACAGGTGTCGCGTCGGGTTAGCGTCAATTCTAGTTATGAGACATGCACTGAACTTTGTCTATGCGGCACTATCCAGGGCTACCATTTTCCCAAGCACAAGCACTACATATATGAGCTAACCGCTTCTGGTGTCGAATATACTCTTGTTTCTTTAGGTATCATTAAACAACAGTAAATAAGTGGTTATGTAAAACACATATGCAATTCAAGGTACATGTCCGCGCTTATAACATTTGTACTATCAACAGCAAAATTTTGTGGTCACTTGGGGTTCTTTAACGCGTGCACCAAATCTGAGCACACGGGCTTACAGCATTTCCACCGCCATCGAAAATGCAGCCGCCGCAGCCGGGACTCGATCGCGCGACCTATAATAGATATTCCCGTTTCTTTTGCATCCAACATCTAGCAAATTTTTTCTGTTAATAGTATACATGTGTTGCGTTGTTTCGTAACGTTTCGCTAAAGAAACAGAAAACACACGCAAAGCTTCTGGGCTCCGCATGTTTTCCATGACATTGATTCCAATGGTACGAGAGATTCGCCGATTTTTCACAATACTTCTGAACGTAACCGGTGCTTTAGCAATAGTAGGTTAGAATTGCCACACTGGCTGCCGAGACAGCTCGCACAAAAGCGTTGCCTAATTTATGCTTCCCGCCAAGTACCTGTCCCCACCAGCCCGGTGAACATGTCGCCAACTGCAGTTCTGAAACTCGGGGAATCTAATTGTTAACTGCAGCTGTTTGCTCTACTCTCCGGTTGCTGCATTACTGGAAAATGTCAAACGGTGCTTCAGACGGGAGCAAGCGTTATGTTTAGCGTTCTAGGCTATGTACGTGCGTAAGCAATTCGCATATTAAAGAGTTTAAAGCAGTCTCACGCGGAAAAAGAGTGTGACCAACCATTTTAGGTGATTTTCTATATATAAATATATATGCGACTGAAAATTGACGCGCACGACAGATCCAAGGACATATTTTTGCAATCAAGAACATTTATTCAACTTACCCGACACCTTTGGCGGCACTAATCGGAGGGTGCACGTTGAAGCACCAGTTATATTTGGAAGGCTGCAGCTGTGCGATCTTTGCAGCGATGGAGAGATTTAATAAAACACCAGTTCTTGTTACGGGGATATTTGATAACGTAGTAGGTTCAACTCGTGGCTCGTATTTCATAAAGTCAGGGTATGAATTTTTCTCAGTTTCGCTTATATCTCCATCAAGATCACCTGCAACTACATTTGAGTTAACCACCTCTTCACAAACCGGTTATGAAGGGGCGAAGCAGTCTAAGATATGCTCTTGCATACTTAAGCAAACAATAATAAACAGACCGTTCGTTCCACTATATAAGCACGTCGGTGTTCTCAATAACTACTTGCTTTTGCCTCTGAGTATTGACGTTTTCATTGTTTGACTATTGCAAGGCGTGCCTTCTATCCTACCTACTTCATTTCCCTTCCCTCTTATTTTCTCGTTAACCCGTCCCTGTCATCGCCATCTGGAGCTAGGCACGCTCGACGTATCGAGAGACTGACGTGTTCGTTATCTAATAATACACCATCTACCATTACTCTCGTGTGTGTATTTTATTAAGCCCAGAGGAAGCGTATCAATGCTGCACCGTCATACCAAGAGATACGACCTGAGTTTGCATGAGCGGTAAGAAAAAAAAAAGCAGTGCGAATTTCCGGAACAATCACGGAGAGCAGGGCGGAGGTGGCGGGATACAAGAGGATGTGTTCCGCACTGACTGAGACTGGTGGTCGAATGCTGATGAGACACACTGTACATGTTTCTCAGGCGTATTCAGGTTCATTGCAGACTATAGCCAGTTTTCTTCCGCTTTGATGAACATTGCTTCTATTGACCGGACGTGCGCACACAAAAGCAAAGCGTGAGGTGATATACTTGGAGCTCCCAATCTTGCTTAGGCTGCGCTTGTCCTACATAATGTTGTGCGACGCGACTGTATCTGGTAGATAAGCTGAGATGATGAGATGAAAGATGAGCAAATTTACGACGTTTGTGAATGTCACCTAAAGCACGTGGTTGCATCTTTGCAGCCTGTAACGTTGGTGAAACAAGCGACTATTCGTGTTTTTTTTCTCGGTGCCACGCACGCTCGCAAAGAATGTCAAACGAAGGAGCGGCATTCGGCGTTCCCTCACTTTAGTTTTTGCTTTGGGAAGCATGCAT